CTGTTTTCAAAACTGGATTCTTTGTCCTTGTAGGTATGAAAGAAGTGTTATAAATGGTAAACCACAACACAGTGTCGTAGGTTATTGTACCGTCTATAAGTATTACGCTTATCCAACTAAAATAAGACCAAGAATTAGGTGAGCCGAATCCTTAACTTTTTGAGTAACAAAGTTAACTTCAGTCACCATCCATATTTATAGTCTGCTCCTTTTCACATGAAATTTTGCGGAAATTTCAATTTTTTTGATCAAAAACTTAAAAACGTGTCACATTTTGTCTGTTTGGTTCGAAATTAATCGAATTAAATGAAAATTACAGGAAATGTGTACAAATTTACCCCATTTCGATTGGTGGAAAATGTTAATTCAGATGGAGTTTGTTATTTGCATATGTCTTGCAGTCTAAATCTAACAATATTTTAATGTATATAATTGGTGATATAATTACCTCGCTCTGTGAAATGTACATGCCTAATGGATTTGTTAATTGGCTTGTGAGGAAATACTGCTCCAATAAGGGTGTTTGGTAATTTGTACATGAATTTGTATTTAAAGTTAATGATTTGTTTTTTGCAGTCAAATGCTAATACTGCCACCATATCAAAGACAAGGACATGGTGCTCAGCTGCTAGAAGCGATATATATTGACCATCGGCAGAACCCTACAGTATTAGATATCACAGGTAAAATAACTTTATCTTTGTTGGAAATATTACTGCGCTCACTGTGCCAGTTTCAAGGCAGGTGTGGTCTTTTGAAATCTTTTTTCCGTTCTCATTCAGAAGAAGATTGAAAACAGGATTCAGTCATTTTGTCCTTCAAGAACAATTTCTCTGAAACGCATTGATCAAATTATTTCAAATTGGTACAAAGACATATACATATACGTACATAGCGCAATTTTAAAATGTGCGTTAACTATATATTTGGAGGCATAAAATGTAATTAATAATAAGTCTTCATGGCACAAGAGATCACAAGCATAGTTGTGCACATGGGATAAAATGTTGAGTATAAATAATTACAGGATAATTTGCTTTATGAATAACCGTTGATAGAGGGCAGTATAATCCCACATTGTTGCTGGGAAAGAATTGACCAGCATTGTTATTCGTCAAAGAAAATTGTTCAGCTTGGAATGTGTCTGAACGCCTCATTAGTATGCAAGAATGTAGGAATATACCCGGAAAATTGTTTTTCTGGAGTAAATTGTGGTGTATTTTACTTGTGAAAGATTAAAAAGTGCATGGAGATTTTATGAAAATGTGTGGATGTTAACAGAATGTCGTTCGGTCACAGTTGCGCAATAAATGATGGACTATTTTGGGCGTAGCTATATAATGTGTCACCGAAGTACTCACACGTGTGCATGATTCCAATAGTTTGTGGTGTGAAGAAACGCCATTAGAAAATAAGTATTGTGTAATTTGTAGTGAGAATGTATTCAAATAGATTTATGTTCATGAATCTTGTTTCTTTTCAAAGTGTATTTATATAATGAAAATTGTTTATGAAAATGATTGAATTTACAAATGATGAGTTATTTTGTTATACCATCACTCGAATTATGTGTTACGAATTTCTGATAGTTTACTGGTGTACAGTGGACATCGATTGTGTGATTTCCATTTACTTCGTCTGTTATAAATTAACTGTATTAGCTTCCTTCGAACGTCCTATTGCCATCGGAATTGTCTACTACACTCGGCGGTGTAGTGCGCATCGATCTTCTTGTATAAAAACGCACCCGAACCCGGAAATCGACTGCAAATCAGGTTGGTCTCGTCACATGATTTCTTACCTTGTTCTTGACCGCAGTACACTTGGCTATGAACTTCCACATACCCACGCTAATGGGAATAGTGCATCATGGGTAATATTGTATTGACCGAGGTGAAACAAGCATGGCTGCCGTAACTCCTGTCGTTCGACTACATCGCTCGTGTTTCTCTTCCTTCTCTGTTTTCTTTGATTTTTTTTTATTTCAATTAAACAGCGATTCGGCTGTGGCCATGCATTTAGTCATTGTTGACTGTTTTTTTCGAATTGGTTGATTGTCATAGTAACATACGCTAAGTACAATTAAACGTCTCGAGTTGAACAGCGTCATTTCTAAGTTTCGAAATAAACAAACATGATTATTTAATTTAGTTTAATTCTTTCAGTTAAAAATTGAGTTTCCAAAATAAATAAATACCGGATTCGGCTGATACCCCGCCCTGGGCGATCTTATGGAGGATTTGATTTTTTTTTAGAAAAATGTGGACCAAAAGATCGCCCGGGCGATCTTTTGGCAGATATTATAAGGCCCATCTTGTCTGGAAAAATAACCCTGCGTTGATAAAAATTGTCTAGAAAAAATAATGTTTCGCGTTGACCAAATATAATCATGCAAAGTATAAATTCAAAGTATTTTAATACATTGGTGAGAGGTCGAATTTTACGTGAACAAGAACATGCACTAAGAAGGAAAAGCAAGTCAAAGTCGAAACGGGGTGCATCTTGGACATGACACAACACACGCTCCGACAACTGGGTGATCAGAGACATCATTTTGGAACACAATTGAACTTCAAGTACTTTGCGAAACTTGCTGCACGAAGTTTGACCCCAAGTCACGCACTGAACTGGCGCGTTACCTTAGCAACCTTTTTCTTTTTTGGTCCGCGCGTCGATCTAGTAAAATTGTTATTATATCCGACGGTACTGTAATTACGCAACTTGTATGCAAATCTGTTCTGGCTTTGAATATGTCAACGTCGTTTACTTAGTGCACTGCTTTTCTAATTACGCAAATTTGTTTACAATATTGTACCAGCTCTAAATATTTCAACTTTGTAATGTATTGCTTTCATGATAATTACGCAAACTCAAGTTAATTTTTAGTCCCCGTTCGGACGCAGTCCGAAAACGGGGACTTATGTTTTGCCCTGTGTGCGTCCGTCCGTCCGTCCGTGATCACCTGTATCTCAAACATGCATACATCACACATTATATGGGACATATGCACATGCATTTTTTTCATGATCCGATTAACGATAGCCGAATAGTGGCCATTTTAAGGCCGAAAATGCATCAAAATCGCACATTTTCACCATTCCGGACCCGGATCCCGGATTTTGTTCAAATTTGGTACATACATTAAACATAATAGGACCTTGATGCAAGTCTTTTTTTTTTTCGGATCAAGTTCGAAATGGCCGACTGGCGGCCATTTTGTTAAAGAATTCAGTTCTGGATCCGTATCCAAGACATGTCTGGATTGATCAAGTTCAAACTTCATACACACATGGTACATCATGTCACAAATAGATATGTGCATTTGTTTCATGATCTGCTTAACAATAGCGGAATGATGGCCATTTTAAGGCCGAAAATGCATCAAAATCACGTATTTTCACAATTCCAGAACCGGATCTCAGTCATGCATGGATGGATTTTGTTCAGATTTAGCACAATGTGTTGTACATATGCAGGTGCATTTCGGTCATGATCTGCTTTGAATGTATATGTCACTCAAATATGAACGGAACGGGGACGTGTCATTGACAATGACTTGTTACTATTGTTAGGATGCTGACCCGGGGTATTGGGTCTGTGAATATTTCAATATTACCAACTTGATAATGCAATGCATTCATAATAATTACGCAAACATAAACATGGGCACATTTAAATCATTAAAAATGATAGTAGTCAGGTGTCTACGGAAAGTAGAGGAAATATTTTAAATACTTGTGATTCATCGATGTTCCAATGGTGATTTTTTTTTATTCGAAATGAAGTGAACATGTAATATAAACCATACCATATGTCAAGTTAAATTTTACTATAATATAATAAACTCTGGACAGCGCACTTCGATCGCAATATTCACGTACATTTCGACTGAACTCTAATAACCACGCGTTTGAATTACGTGCGGCATTGGGCAATGACCTCAAGAGTTTACGCACTGATATTTAAATTAGAGCCATCCAGCTTGACGCAAATCAATATAGTTACTTGTCATGTGTTCAAAAAATCTTTCAACTCTCACAAATACATGAACGCGAAGAGTTAACTGAAGGGGAACGTCTTTTTTGGACAAAAAACACGTCAGTACAAGATTATGTGTACAAGGTTAGATTTATAGAACGTACATGACCGCTTAACTCAGTGTTTTAATAATCATGTCGCATGTGAAACGCAGGAGACATTTTAGTTCGCGCATTTCTTGTTTACCGGAATGTGATACAGATAAAGATTAAACATTGCTGATAACAACCAAGAGGCTCGAATCCGGAAAGCTTGGATATTTTAAACTTCGTAAATAACATTCTTTTCAAGCGTAGACTTTGTTCGAGTGTAATAAACGTAAGTGAAATGTATTTT